ACTGCTTCATCCTGTCGCTGTCCTTGGTGTTCTCCTTGGCCAATCGCGCTGGGGGATGCTAATGCCAGCTGGCTGACAACAACTTCCTCTCACTCACCTGCGCCGGTGCTTCTGAAATGGGGAGGTCGAGGAGCTCTGGCGTTAAAAGTTGGGGGCCCAAGCGCCTGCGTAAAAGGGCTAGGACAGGATGTGCGCGTCCTCCTGAAGGACGGTAAGTTCTACGTGGGCAAACGGATGCAGTGTCGGGCGTTGATGAGCTCACCTGGCAGTGGGACGTCACGGCGGGGGCCCTCTTGGAGGAAGCATTGGGTTTGCGCGACATCGCGGGGGCCGAGAAGGCCAGTTGTATCCAGGCAGACCCAACGCCGAGACGAGTGGAGAAGAAGCTAGAATTCCCTCAGGTGGAACCTCATTCTGGCCCGGGTACGGAGGAGGACGTGGCCTGGCAGAAGAGCGAAAGGTGGATGGGGCATCTCCGTTCGATGAGGCCTCCGGTGGTTCTGGCGATGGGCAAGGGCTTTGGCGTGAACGTTGACAAAGTGGCCAACAGCCTTGTCGAGTTCACCTCCCTGGTCGATGCTTCGAGGAAGGCAAGGTGGACATGGGTTTCCTCGTCAGCTGAGGCCCACATAGTCCTGGCTGTCGGCTACAGGATGTTAGCGACGCCAGGCTTCGAGGACCAAGTGGACAAGACTCTGGAGCAGGCCAGGGTGCAGGACCTCAAGATGCAGAAGAGGGCGCGGGAGGGGTGGACGAGTTGGCTACAGGAAGCTTCGAGCGGTGGTGCCAGCGCGGCTAGTCCTTTCATCCAGAGTGGCTGCAGTTCAAGAGCTGGCTCATGCAGGTGATGGAGCCCAACCTTTTGAAAGGAGATGCGTTTGTAATGGCGGCTAGATCTATGGCGGGAACATGGCGATGATATGTTCTTCAGCGCCCAGCAGACGTTGGATCATGGGCGGGGCCGCCTCAGCCATCGGCGGGCGACCTTTGGCAGGCGGTAGGCGAGCTCCCTGAGAAGACTGGCTTGGGCTCGTTTCGTGCTCACCACCGTGAGTTTCAGAGGTTGCCGCGCGTTGTGCCCCAGCGCGCGGCGGGGGTTTTCAACGCGCGCGAGCCGCTGGGGGCGCGGCCTGCCAAGATATTGGTGCCAGAGGTGGTGCGACTGGGCAAACCAGATGGGGGGCATCGACCAGCTGCTCTCTCACATGCGATGCCTCGTTGGCGGGGCCGGGCCATGCGTGAGAGCTCGGCGATGTGGGAGCAGCAGCATAAGGACGATGTCCTTTGGGGCAGTGGCAGTGGCAGGACTTCGCCCGGCACCGCTGTCGAGCAGAACATCGCGGCATAGATGGCTGGGATGACGGACAAGCATGCGATCGTGGTCCCCATGGACATGGCGAGTTGCTACGATACGATCCGCCGGGGGGCCTTTTCGTGAAGCTCAAGCAGTCGGTTTCCCTTTGCGATTGGCGCGGTGCCTCATCATGCAGTGCTCACGGCCGATATATATTCAGGCTTCTGGTAGCCACTCAAGTGTCGCGCAGGTGTTTCAAGGAATACAGGCTGGATGTAGCCACGCAGCGGCGTTGCTCAGTGCGCTGCTGTTCCGAAGCTTGAAGGATACAGGACTGATCTACAGGTCGATCACTCCGACGGGGGCTGATGGATGATGGGCCCCTGCAGTGGGTCGGCCAGAACTTAGACTGAGCAGTGGACCTGTGGACTGCGACGGTGTACCTGTGCAAGAGGCACAAAGATTTCGGAATGCTCGCGCAGGCTAAGTCCCACTTCGTGGCAACATCCATGGAGGCGCAACGGGCATTGGATCTATTTCTCTGGGAGCCGAAGCCTCATGCACGAAAACTTGGGCCACGAGTTGTTGGGCAGCAGGGTCAAGCGCGCGACCGAGAAGCGACGGCTACGGAATGCAGCTGGGCGCGAACCGAGGTTGAGAGCTCTGAGGCAGGGCATAAGGGGCAACGGCGACTTTACTTGGAGGGCAGGCGTCTGTGCGTCGGCTGGTCATGGTGGCAGTGTGTCGGGCATACCAGATACGACTATGGCCAAGCCGCGTCGGCTGGCAGGCGCTGGCTGCTGGTTATCCGCGGAAAGGTAGGTCGCTTACGTGCTACCTGGCGACGCAGAAGCAGGAGTTCATGGGCCCGATATTTGACGGTGCGGCAGATTTGGCTGAGCGGCATGCGGCATGGCAGTGGGATGGCAGGCTTCCAGGTGCGGCGTTGTGGCGAGCTTCGGCGGCATCGCTGGAACGACTACGGCATGGCCCCAGTTGGCCGCTCTGTACCGGACCGATTGCAGCCTTGACCTGAACCCTCACCAGTATCGTTTGGGAGCTTGCGAGCCCGACGCGGTTCAAGACGTGCGAAGGTACGCCCATACCGTTGTTGACCATGCCGCCCCAGGATGCGAGGGCCATGGGGGTCGAAGGCGTGCGGCAATGGCAGCATAGTCGTACGATTGGTCATGCTCCAGAAGCTACGGGGTCAGAATATTTTTGGCCAAGGGCGATGCGCACAGGGATTCTGTCGCTGGAGGCCAAACAACAAAGCGCGGCGCGTGCAGTGCGGTTTTGGGCTCCATTGGCGCCGACGGCGAGACTCCTGAAAAGGGTACCATGATAACGCAGATTGCCCATGGTGCGTGGTCAAGGAGGCGAGCCTGGGGAACTTGTGGCATGAGTGCAGCAAGCTGTTGCAGGACGAGGATGAGGACCTGTCCGACAGGGCCAAGTTGCAGCGGCGTCGACTTGGGAATGTGGCTAGGGAGCAAGGTTTTGGAAAAGGGAGGTCCGACCTTTTGTGGGTTTGTGACGCTGCTGCGTCTGATGCCGCAGGTGCCGGCTCCACTGGATAACCCCCCGTGCTTTTTATTGGGGTTTGGACGACGACCAGAACGGCAGCAACGTAGTCGTGGCCAGAAGTGAGGACAGTTCAAATGATATGGGCCCTCTCCTAGGGACGTCTCGACCCAGCGAGATGTGACCATCCAGGACTACGCGGACATGCGCGCGGACCTCCATGACTGGGCTGCAGTGTGGTTCGACACCAACGACCTTCCCGAGTCCAATGCGAACTGGATGGAGCGGTGCCAGCCCTTTCCCGAGGACGTGTCCCAAAGAGGCGGCAAAGCTGCGCTGCGGCGACTGCTGCGCAGGTGGTTCCAAGGGCTTACGTTGCAGCGGATCTTCGAGAGTTTATGTGCGAGTGTTTGGCGGCAAACTAGAGTGCGACGGCGGAGCTTTGTCATGGGTCTTGCGAGAATGCCGCGACAGGAGCGACGCGATCGCGAGGTTTGTCGCTGGCGTGATCTGGCTGACTCGCGCGCTATGTTCAAGGCGATATTGGGGGACGGGGCACCGCAACCGCGACCTCGTAGACCAGGCCAAGACGATGATCAGGCGACCGACCAGGCTGCATCATCGCCTAGGTTATCCTCAGTAGAGTGCCCTGGTACAGGCGCTATGGGGTTTGCTAAGTTGGTTATTGCGGCTGTGGCGTCCAAGTACATGTAGCCAGCTTCGCTAGGCGGCTACGCGCCAAGCGGAGACGGGGCGGAGTCAATCTTGACTCGCGACCCCGCCCCATCTAGGTCTCGCTCGTCTGGAGCTCAGAGTGCACCATCGTGGGCTCCGAAGTTTTGTTCGAACAGGGCCACGCGCTGGGGTATTCGCGTCTACGCCGACGGAGCGGCGTCCAACTCCCACTTCCTCGGGCGCAGGAGGAACGGATGGTCGGTGGTGGAGCTAGATAGTCAAGGCTGGCCGCGCAGAGCGAGATATGGAGCTCGATGAAGCTCGAGAACGTGGTGGGCTCGATGGCGATGCTGGGGCAGCCGGCGCATAGACATGCCGAGTGGGCGCAGAAACTGGCGAAGTGTGAGGCCACCAAAGTCGTCGGCGCGAAGGTGCCAGCATCGAACATCGAGTACCACGGCTTCTGGCACGATCCTGCCCCAGGAGCACCAATATGTTGGATGTGCAGGAAGTGCACTGCAACGGCGAGGACGGATCATGCACTGCGAAGTTTGCGAACCAAGAAGAAGTTCAAGTATTGCGAACTGGCCGAGCTGTTGAGCTTGGCTGCGGGTTGCTTTTTCCGTGGTCAACCCCAATTCGTGTTTGTGAACGTGTTGCCCAATGTGGATAGGCGACGTGGCCATTAGAGCCGGGCGCCCTCAGGCACTTTCGGAGTCTCGGGCATGTGCCCTGCGTGTTCGGGCCATTTGCAGTAGGCAAAAAGTGTGCAATATTTTGTCTTCGCGGAGGAGGGTCGTGTGCCTGAACGCGGCGTGTCATGGACCGTCGGAAGATCCAAGCACGCGGGCTGGCCAGAAGTCTGCCATCAAACGAGCCATGGGCCAGAGACATCCAAAGACAGGTGTGTACTCGGGTTGCAGAGCGACGGGTTCGGAGTCTACCCAAACCCCGCGGGGCGAAGGGTGAGGCCGCACATCAAGTCCACGAGTGCGACGGCCATCATTCTGCACTTCGCTGGGCTCCTGTGCCTCGTGTGCGTGTCACCCCTCCGCTGCGGGGGGGTCAGCCTCTGTACGTGTGCGTCGTTTTCGGCGACGTCCCGTCCCCCGCGAGGCGAGGGGGGAGGCCCCAGTTCCTGGACATCTGTGTCGTGAGTTCCTCGCCGACGGCCTCCTGAGGCCGCAGGCCGTGAGTCCGCCGCGGCGGCGCGTCTGCCTCGTGTCCGCGGCGCCCATGGGCCGCATGGGGTCGGTCGTTTGCGGCAGATTCCGCTCTCGGCCGAGCGCGTTCCTCCTCCTCCTCGTCCTCCTCCTCCTCCTCCTCCTCCTCGTCCTCCTCCTCCTCTTCCTCCTCATTTTCCCTCTCCTCCGCTTCCTCCTGCTCCTCCTTCTCCTCCTCCGCCTCCTCCTCCCTCCTCATCATCCGCCTCCTCCCTCTCCCCCGCCTCCCTCTCCGCCTCCTTCGTCTCCGCCTTCGCCTCCGCCTGCTCTTCCTCCTCGGCCGCAGCCCCTGCGGCGCTCAGGCCCCCGCAGTCCGCTTCAATGATAGCCGCCATGTGGCGCCTCGCGCTCCTCGCCGCCAGCTTCGGGCGGCTTGCGGCGGGGTCGCTGCGGCGCCCGTCGCAGGAGGCGCTGCAGGCTGGTTCGTCAGCAAATCATGGAAGCTTGGTGTTCCGTCGTAATTTCGCCTGCAGAGTGCACTGGCTTTGAGTGGCGTCTCGTAAGCAATGAGATCGCGCCGAGTTAGCGTCGGCCATCGTCGCTTAACGTCGGATGGCGTCGATTTAGTGTCGATTCGCGTCGATTCTCCAGAGCCAACAAGACACAAGATGGTATAGGAGGTCCCCATGATTTGCCGCAGAAGGCCGAGCTCTCCCGACTGGAGGCCTCGCACACGGCCTCTGTCGCGGTGGTGAAGCGCGCGGACGACGCATTTGCGAGCAGCCATACGTTGGAGCCGGCTGGGGGTCTGATGTGGCCCAACGCTGGTCCGGCAAGCAGGAAGGGGGTGGAGGTACGCGACTCTGGGTCGAGACGCTTTGTTGCTTCTCTCTGCCTCTGGGTGCCGCTTTCGGGGCTGAGGACCATCAAATGCGGATCGGGGTGAAACGTTGCACCTGACGAACCCCCGGACGGGTCTGGTCACAGATCTTGCGCGGATTTGCGTTCCCCTTCCCCTTTGGCATCGCTCGGACGTGTGCATGTTTCTTTCGGTGAGGACCATCGAGGAGCATCCTTGATCATTTGGCGGAAAACCACGCACGAAACCGAACAAAACACAGGGAATGGACGTCCGAGCGATGGCCAGCCACCCGGTTCTAGACATTTGGCAGGCTTTCTCGCGGCCCAGCCACCTCGGAACCCGCGGCCGCCTCCAAGCCGGAAGCTGCTGGCGAGGATGGCCACCGTCTCCAAGGAGAACGACACCGCACTGCTGGCGGAGCTGCCGTCTCTGGTCAGCGACCTGCAGTCGGCGCACACGTCGCTGTCGCAGGTGGACAAGGACATCAAGGCGTCCGAGGCCGAGAGCATGGACCTATACGACAAGATGCTCGAAGAGGAGGGCACGGACGCAACGAAGCAGCTTGTGTCAAATCTGAAGCATGCAGACAAACAGAACTTCAAGAACCACCATCGGCTTGCGGAGAGCTTCAACTTCAAATTCAAGAAGGCCATCCACCTCATCGCCAAAGGCCAGCAGACTTGGGGCTTCCTAAGGTGTTCCTGGCCCATGGCGTTCAAATCTTTTCGCGCCATTCTGGAGCCCAGGCTGTGGCCAACCGTCAGGGTCCATTTCCATGCGTTCGATCCGGTTCGATCTCGAGTCTGGTTGGTCCGATCCCACTCGATTCCGATGTTTTGTGATCCCGATGCGGCGCGATGGTCGTGCCCAGTTGCCGTGCATCTTTGCGCTGCCAATCCGATTCGATTTCGACTCCGTGCCGATGTGGCCCGATCCGACGCTCGTCCCGACTCGATCAGATTTCCCGACTCGCTGCTGACCGATCCGGCCTGCCACTGGGCCAGGGCCACTCCTGGCAGCGCCCGAGCGTAGCAAAAGCCAGGCAGAGGAGGTCCGTGCCAGCCTCCAGAAGCTCGTGCAGTTCGTCTCGTGAGCCTTGCTCTCAAGAAGATCTGTATATGTATTTCTCCATACACATATGTATGTTTACACACACATATATATACATATATATATATATACATATGGTCAGGCCCCCCCCCCGCACCCCGTGAAGCCCTAGCCTTACGTTCAATCTCTTTCTCGCTTCGCTTCCGTTCCTCCTCCTCTCCCTCCTGCTCACTTTCCCTCTCCGTTCCTCTTTCCTCCTGCTCCTCCTCCTCCTTGTTCTCCTCGTCCTCCTCCTCATCCTCCTCATCCTCCCCCCTCTCCTCTTCCTCTAGCTTCTCCTGCAAAAAGGACTATGCGAGAAGAGCTGCCACGAAACTTTGCTATTCACATGTTTTGTTTTTGTTTGTTTGGTCAGTTCACAGCTTTTTTGTGTTTTGTTTGCTTTCAGAGGTCTGCAAACTTCGCCAGGAGGCTGGTGGACGGAGCACACCCAGAAAAACATGTGACTAGCAGTGTTTCGTGGCCTGGTGGCGAGAAAACCATGCTATTCACATGTTTTTGTTTGGGGAGGGTTCAATGGAAACCATAAAAACAAAACAACCTGTGAATAGCATGGTTTTCTCGCCACCAGGCCACCACACACTGCTATTCACAGGTTGTTGATGTGTTTGTGGTTCCCGCTGAAAAACAAAAACAAAGAACACATGTGAATAGCATGGTTTCCTCGCCACCAGGCCACTAAACACTGCTATTCACAGGTTTGTGTGTTGTTCTTCAGCACCGACCATCGCCCGCGAAGTTTGCAGACCTCTGAAAACCAAAACATCCCCCAACAACATGTGAATAGCAGTGTTTCGTTGTATCACTGGCCAGAAAAAAAACATGTGAATAGCATGGTGTTGTGGCCCTGTAGTTCCTCCTCCTCCTCCCCCTCCTCCTCCTCCTCCTCCTCCTCCTCCTCCTCCTCCTCCTCCTCCTCCCCTCAATCCTCCTCCTCACGTTCGTCTTCCTCCTCCTTGTCCTCGACCTTCTCCTCCGCACGTTTTTCTTGTCCCTCCTCCTTCTCCTCCTCCTCCTCCTCCTCCTCCTCCTCTTCCTCCTCCTCCTCCTAGTCCGACCCCTCATCTTCTTACTCCTCCCATGCTCCTCCTTTTCGTCCTCCGCCTGCCTCCTTCTATTCCGCAGTCTTCCCCGAATCATCCTGTAAAACATCCGTTGGAAGACGGTGTTGTTCCTGTCGGCCGACGGCGCAACATATGTCACAACCTTTGGGGCACGGCTGTACGCTCAGCCGCTGATGGCGCAACTCCTACTGCAACCCGGAGGAGAATGTTGCATTCTCGGCCGCCGGGGGGCGCAACCTCTGGCGCAACTACTCGGAAGCGGCTGCGTTCTCGGCCGCCGCGGGCGCCCCCCCCCCCCTTCGCCACGCCGCGTCGGGCGGCGCGACGCGGCCGGGCATGGCGCGCGGGCGGGAGGAGGGCGCACCCGAACGCCATGTGTTGGAGGCGGCAGAGGAGCGCCCAGGGGGGGGCGATGGAGCCTCGAACGCTACGCGTGCACGCGTTGAGGTGACATGTGTACGTCCTGTCATTGTTGTTCGTTGGTGTGTTTCTGAGCGTTGCCCTGCCGCGTAACACTGTTACTGCTCGGGGCCGCCTGGGGCCATCTGGGAGACCTCTTGGGCCGTCTTGGAGGGCGGTCTTGGAAGCTCATCGGGTCGTCTTGGCGCGGCCTTGCGCAAGGGGGCGGTGGCCTCGTCGGCCGTCTCTCAGACCTGGAAGGGGAGCATCCAAACTAGGATGCCCCTCTTCCAGAGGTCGTTGTATAGTATGGTTGTTGTATAGTATTGCTGTTCCCTGGTTTGGTATTTCGCCGCGCCCTGCCTCGTCGCGCTGTTGCTGCTCGGGGCCGTCTAGGTGCCGTCTTGGAGGCCTCTTTGGCCGTCTTGAGAAGGGGGGTGGTCTTGGAAGCTCGTCAGGACTCCTCGGGTCGTCTTGCTGCGTTCTTGCGGAAGGGGGCGGTGGCCTTGTCTGCCGTCTCTGAGACCTCTGGAAGGGGGCATCCAAACTAGGATGCCCCTCATCGCTTCACTGGGTATGGCCCCAGCGGCTGTCTTTTGGGGTCTGCTCGTTTTGTCTCCTCGCAACCGAATTCGGCATTAGCGGCGGCAGCCCGCCTACTGAGCGCCAAAGCACCCGTCACGGATGCTCCTCCGAGTCTTCTTCGCGAGGTCGAAGTACTTCTCCCACTGAACGTCCGTTACCAGAGAGCAGAAGCGGCACCTCTCCGACAAAAGTTTGTCGTACTTGGCCTGCGATGTCGGAGAGGAACACTTGGTCTTGGAGGGCGGCTTGAAGGCCGACGGACTTTGCCACGCCCTCCCAGGAGCGCGCCTGGGCGGGCGCTGAAGTTCGTCTGCCTTCGAAGGCTTAGTTGTTCAATGGACAAGCCTTCTTCTCCGAAAGGGCTTGCTCAAGGCGCTCGCGCTCCTTCGCCCCCTCCTTCGTGGCCGCGGCCGCGCCCTCCTCCTTGCCCCGGGCCTTCGCCTTCTGCGCCCGCCGCTTTTTTTTCGGCGAGGCGCCGAACAAGAAGCAAACGAAACAAGGAGTAGCCCGGTGGGGAAACCGCTCCCGAGGGGGTGCGCGTGCGACCTCCAAGAGGCCTGATAGCGCCCCCCTCGCAGGCAGGTTTTTGGGCAGAAGCTTGTTTCCTAGTTTTGAAGAGGCCAGCCCTTGCTCGCTTCGTTCGGGCGCGCCGCAGTGCCTCAGGCGCGCCGTTTCGTTCTGTTCCGTGTTGCATTGTTATGGTTCGATGCGTGCTGCTCGTGTTGGAGTTGGTTTTGTTGGTGCTGCTGTTGGTGGTATTGGTGCCGCTGCTGAGCGTTGGTTGGCACAATGTCGTTGTTCACCTGTTTGGTTGATTGGGTTCACCCCGACACTTGGGCCACGAACGCGTCGCGGCGCATGAAGAACACCTGCTGTGTGAGGGTGTCCTTGTCGCGCCTCAGGGCTGCGAGCGTGCTGTGGTACTTGCGCAGGTGCTTCTGCGCAGCCTCCTTGAGGAACTCCTTCACCTAAGGCTTTGCGACCCAATTATTCAACGATTTGCTGCACTTGCGGTCGCGGCACCTCTCCGTCTTCGTCTCGGTGGCATTTTTGGATGAAGCTGGCATGGCGTGGTGCGGGGCCAGTGCTGGGGGGGGAGAAAAGCAAATATAAAACAACAAATGCTCTATTCTGAGCAAACTACGGATGGTTGCAACCAGTTTGGCTGAAACGGAAGAAGAAGAGACGGATGATGATGAGGAGGCGAGCACGGATCGCGAGGAAGAGGAAGAGGATGAGTGACGTCAGGAAGGTGAGGAAGAGAGGAACGAGGGAGGAGGAAGGAGGAGGCAGAGGACGAGGAAGAGGAAGGAACAGCAGAGGATCACATGAGGAGGAGGAGGAGGAGAAGCAGGACGAGCAGGAAGAGAATCGTTTGCACGATCGCTCGACGTTGGGACCGATTGGAATGCAATCGGTTGGCAATCAGCCGACTGGTTTGCGACCCATTGGGTTGCAACCGGTTAGGTTGCAACCGACTGCGTCGAAACAGACGTGACAGAATTCGATGGGATTGCAATCAAGTGGGTTGCAATCGATCGTAGTCAAGCTAGCTGTCAAGCTGATGCCCTCCTGGCCAGTCGGCGAGGAGGCTGAGACGGAGGAATCAGAAGATGAGGATGATGAGGGCGATGAAGATGAGGAGGAGGGCGGAGGATGAGGAGGAGGCGGATGAGGAAGAGGAGGAAGATGAGGAGGTGGGCGAGCAGGACGAGGATGAAGAGCAGAAGGGGGAGGATGATCATCGGAATGATCACTCGCTATCGGGGCGCGGTGATGTAGGGTCTCTCCGTCCCTCCTCCGCTTCCTCGAATTCCTGCGCCGCACCCTTCGCCAAAAAGGCTTGCGGGAGGATGACCAACAAATCATGCTGGAAAGCAGTGAGGGTGATGAAGAGGAGGACGATGAAGAGGAGAGGAAGCAGGGTGACAGGTAGGAGGAGGAGGAAGAAGAGGAGGAGGAGGAGGAGGAGGAAAACGACGACGACGAAGAGGAGAGGGAGCAGGGTGAGGGGCAGGAGGAAGAAGAGGCGGGCGATGAGGGGGAGGAGGGATGGCTTGGGGGTGGGGACGCTGAGCTATGGTTGGCGAGGAGGCTGAGGCGGAGGAACAGGAGGATGAGGATGACGAGGTCAAGGACGAGGAAAAGGAGATGGAGAAGAAGGGGTATGAGGAGAAGGTGGAGAAGGAGGCGGATCATCGGAGTGATCGCTCGCTGGAGGACGGGGTGCTGGGGGGAGCTGAGCTATTTATTTAATCGCTTCGCTCATTCCGCCGGCCCACATTGTATCGCTGGTGCTATATGTTTGTGTGTTCGTGGCGAGCGAGAAGACGTTGGAGGAGGGGGAGGAGGAGGAGGATGAAGAGGGGAGGATGAGGACGAGGAGGCGGTCTCTCGATGGCTTCTTGGAGTATTTTTGGGGCCAACCCTGGTCGTGGACAAGACGCCTCTTTGGGAGGCTTCGTGGGGTCTCTTGGGAGGCCTCTCGGGGGCCTGTTGGAGGTGTTTTTGGGGCCTCCTGGGGCCTCTTGGGGGCCTCTTGGGGCCTCTTGGGGGCCTCTTGGGGCCTCCTGGGGGCCTCCTGGGGGCCTCTTCGGGCAAAGATGTCGGAATGCCCGTTCGGGTCCCCCGTCTGTGCCCTCTCTTGGAGCCGTCTTGGGGGTGTATTGGGCCGTCTTGGAGGCCTCTTGGGCAGTCTTGGGGCCATCTTCGGCCGTTTGGGGGCCCTCTTGGAGACCTCTCGGGCCGTCTTGGGGCGGTCTTGGGGGCCTCTTGGGGCGTCTTGGAGCGTCGGAAGCTGAAAATGCGAGAACACCAAAAACCTTCAAAAACCAATGGAAAATCAACGATTTTTGCTTCTTGGGGCCCTTTTTGGAGGCCTCTTAGATGGTTCTTGGGCCATCTTGGAGGCCTCTTGGGCGGTCTGGAGGCCATCTTGGGCGTCGTGGATCGATCTTCGGGCGTCTGGGGCCCCTCTTGGACCATGTTTGGGGCCTCTTGGGGCCCTCTTGGGGCGATCTGGAGCCCTCTTGGGCTCCGAAACAGAATTCCGGCATCTCTGACCCCTAGTCTGCCGGGGATCTGCCGGGGATCGCCCGGGGTACTTTTCGCTCGGGGACCCCCAGGGGCCGCCCTGCGCGCGCGAACTAGAAATACTGTTTACCTGTTACCCGAGATCTTAGCACGCCCTGGCCCGTTGGGCCGGCGAATATATATATATATATATATATATATTATATATATATATATATATGTGTATGTATGTATGTATGTATGTATGTATGTATGTATGTTTGTTTGTTTGTTTGTATGCATGCATGCATGTATGTATGTATCTGTATGTATGTATGTATGTATGTATGTATGTATGTATGTATGTATGTATGTATGTATGTATGTATGTATGTATGTATGTATGTATGTATGTATGTATGTATGTATGTATGTATGTATGTATGTATGTATGTATGTATGTATGTATGTATGTATGTATGTATGTATGTATGTGTGTATATATATATATATATCCACGCTCTCGCGGTCCGGATTCCGGGGCATGCTCCCGTGGCGCGGTCGCAGGGATGCGCTCCGCGCGGAAGATCCGCGAACAACAACGCCTCGTATCCGTGGGATCGCGTCCCGGGGGCCCGGGCCGATAGACCGTCCCGGGATTGCTCGGGGGCGGAAAAGAGGGGGTGATGACTAGGGGGGGTGGATATCATGGCGCGGGCCATGATATTTCCCCAGATCTCAGGGCGCCTCTTCTTATTTCATTACGTCCCTAGTCCCCCCGCTGGGCCGCGCACATGCCGCCGGTCATGAGTTGCACCCCCCCCTCTTTGACGCCCCCCTCTTTGCCGCCCCCGAGTTGCGAAAACATTGCGAAACACCGCGACGTTTCCTGGCCGGATCTTTATATGATTGCCCCAGCCTGGTTGATCCAAAAGGTGGTCCAGCGAAAAGCAGGTGGTGTAATAGATTCGGTGCGATGGATTTGTGGGGTTCGCAATAGCTTTTGGGGCGTGCGTTGCATTACGATCCTGAAATGTATTGCTGGATTTCCGCGGGCAATGCATGCGTTGCAGCGCAATGCAATGCAGCTCTCTGGCGCCACACGTGTGCACAGCTGCCCAGATCGATCCCCCTTTTTGGGTCAGCCAAGCCCGTGACTAGAAGCCCGGCGGAAATGCCTGGTGCTCCGTTCCGACCCCCCACAGCCAACGCCTCTCCGACCGTGCCCTGCCCGACCCTCCAGAGGCCCTGTCTGACCCTGCTCCGCCGCGCCCTGCCCTGGCTCTCCGGCCGTCCTGGGCCTCCGCTGCATACCAGGCCCTGCCCCCGCGCCCCTCGGCGACCCCGTCCTGCCGCGCCCCAGCCCTCTGGCGTCCGGCTTGGGCATCTCCTCGTGTGGTTACACAACTCCGGACGGGAGGTTGTTCGTCGCTCGAGGCTTCTCGGGCTCGTTGT